AAAAACCAAAATTTCTTTGGTTACGATGGGTCTGCTTTAGTTCCAATGACTGTCATTATGTACATACTATGATACCAAAGTAAACTTAGTCAGGCAGAGTTATTAGATTAGCAGGTATGTATATATATATATGCATGTACACATGGGAATTATTTAAAATTTAATGTGAACACGCTATAGAAATGGTCGATACATATGCATACATATAAGGGGACATGTGTGTGCGTAGCTTGATGGGATTTTTAGGGGTGCTTTATAAAACTTTATAAAAATATATGGTAGTACCAATTTACCTGCATTCAAAAACAATTTAAACATTTCAGCTATATGTACTCTACTTACTTGGCTAATTGTAATTAGATTTGGCGGCTGATTGCAAGCACCAATTATTGGCAGTATATTTGGATGTGAGAAAATGCGGAGCTTAGGAAACTCTTCATTAAAATCACGCGATATACGTGAAGTGCACTGGCGAACGGCTAAGATCTGTAATTAAATCAGTAAGTATTACATATATTTAAAACTATTACCGTTGTTGAAAGTATGGCTGACTTTCAAAATGTATCAATACAATGTTTGGAAACTGTTATACTGCTGTATTCAAACTGTTTGTATATGCAAAGTTGCGACACATTGCAACCATATACATTGCATATTTGAAATATTCAATATAGCAATGAACAATTCTTTTTTTTTTTGAATATTCTATATTTAAGCATTAAGAAGCATCAACTTTGTTTCTGATGTGCTGATTGCTCAAGCGATACGTTTCGATAAATTATCGGTAGCGTTTTGGAACAGTATACATTGTCAATATTTTGTAGTTCGACGTTATGGAACCTTAGACTTTGTGCGTATACAAAGCAATTGACGTTTTGGTAGTCAGCCTATTTCACCATTACCTTTGCAATAACATCATTCTTTTGCCAACGTCCACGCCATGTCTCGCCAGATGGGGTTACTGCAATTTTCGTGTGTAAATCTAATTCACCCAAACTGATACCCTTAAAACGGGAGAGTGTAGCATCGCGTGAACGGGTTTTCGTACCCAACCAACTTTGCTCCTTAAAGCTTATCTTTTTAATATCATGACCGTTACGTTCAGCTAAGTCGTGCAAACGCTTTGACAAACCAGCCTTTGCCTTATCCAATGGTGTATCATTGTCCTTGTTGGCGATGGAAACGAGTGCGCCAGCATTTACTAAGTCTTCGCAAATCATATCATAGCCCCAGAAGCAAGCGTAATGCAGTGGTGTATTGCCGTGCTCGTTTACAGCATTGACATCAGAGCGCTCGCGAATTAGCTAAATGGATAAAATAAGTAGCGAATTATAATATGGGAAAAAGAAATTTTTAATATGCAATCGAACTCACCAATTGCACAATGTCCCGATGTCCATGTGCCGCAGCCAGATGTAGCGGAATATCATCGCCCATGTTGGTGGCATTAACGCGTGCTCCACGTTGTATTAGAGTTTCTACTAATTTTGTGTGACCCTCTTTGGCGCACCAGTGAAGAGGACTGAAGCCATGATCATCACTAAAATAAGTATTTGAATTAGACCAGGAAATGTTTATTATTATTTAAGTAGTAATAATCAAAAACAGCCTTTTAGGGAACACAGTGTGACATCGGACGCAGATGGGACCGGAAGCTAATGCCCGCTTGGCTTAATTCGAAAGATTTCATTTTGCAAAACACTTTGGTTACACATTGTGGCTTTAAAAAGACCTGCACAAGTTGGCTATTAGAATTGTAAGTTCTATTAAAAATTAAGGATGTGCAATATTACAAATGTTTTAACTGTATTTACATATTTAATTTTAATTCTGCGCTTCACATACAAGCATTAGATATGTGTATAATCAAAGAACGTTCTCTGATATAATGTTTATGCATTAATACATATGTAGGCATGTATGTGTATTTAAATTCTCTTGAATCAGGCGAAGGTTACACATCTCACCATCTGCCACTGGATACGTATTTGTTGTTGCGCTTTTTAATATGCAAATGTTTATACAGATTTTCAAAGCAATCAAGAATTCGTCATGACGTCACTCATCATTTCGGATTCAGCCTTGCGCAATATTTGCCAAGCGCTGAGATTATTGGTACTTTGTCCAAGAAGGTTTATGAGAAATTTCTTTAAATATACTTTTGTTTTTTTACCCCAAATTCATATCATTGCCCGTATCTTCCAGCCACAGACGCACTTGTATCGAGTTTCCTTCACGACACCAATGAAATATATCCTCCATTTTTTTGGCACAAAAGTCTGAATTTTAATTTTTAAAGCAATATAAGTGCACAAAATTCGAATCAGGTATTAATAACACACAAAAGTATATTTTAATGCGCTTTTTTTAAACAAATTACTAAAGAAATTCAACAGATTGGTTGCAAAGGAGGCGAATTTAGGAATGATGAATGTCAGAACAGGGATAGATCAAAAACTTCCACTGGAATCCACTACCGAAAATCACTGGAAAGCACTACCGGAAGTATAGGGTGATAACCCATTTCGCCATTTTCCCATCATTCCAATCGGTTACGGACCAAAATACACTGGAGGAATCGGTTGGGGTCTTATATGTATCCGGTTTGAGTATTTGCTACTATGAGTGTTGATTAGAGATGTAGCAAACCATATGCATCCGGTACTGAGGAACAGGTACAACTCCTGACTCGAAGTAGCATATTTTTACTCACATTAAACTCGTTACTCGCATTTTCCCTATTTGCACCATTAACGCGAATCAATACAACACCACATTGTGCGGGAACGAAACTGTTGTTCATATCGATACTAAAGTGTATTGCGTGTATATATGTATGTATATGTCCATGCATGCATATGTACGAACGAACATTTTCTTACGCTGGGAGACTCGCTGAAGAGAACGTTTAATACAAAAGTAACTAGTAAAGTAACGATACGAAAGATATGGGTGTTGATTGGATTAGTACCGAATACATACGGGTATCCAAATTTTCGTTACTTTTACAGCTCTTATGTTGATAAACATTGGAACAGGCTGCAGAGCCTGTATGAAAATAAAAAAAAAAACATTACGTATAAAAATACTAATAATAAATAATGATAATCTCTACATGGAGGAGAAAACTAAAAAAAAATTACTTAGTTATTTACTACCTCACATTTGCAAATTGCTTTTCATATTGTGGCGAATACTGCGGCAACACAAAGCGAACAACGAGAAATAGGCAGAATGTTCGAAGAATGACGTA